ACTAAGATAGACCTTCAACAACCACAATCATCCTCCTTTGTGCTAGGTAGGACTTCAAACAGAGAAGTCAACTTTATCGCCAAATTCCCACTGACTCCAGTTTTGCTAGTGCTCCCTGAATTCATACTCAGTCAAGTGCAGCCTTGTTGTTAAGGGCAAATATTTTCATTGGACCAGGAGTTCAACTGTCATCTGTAATTGGACTAAGGCTGTAATAATGTGAAGAACTAAATGGTCCTGGCAGAATTCAAACTGAACAGTAAGTAAGTTGTTGAGTATGTGCCATTGATGATGATTAAAAGCAGACCAAAGAGAAACTAATTAGCTGTGTCAGACTGGTTTTGCTTTTGTAAACATACTTGGGCAATTTTCCACTTTGCTTAGTAGATGCCAGTGTTGTTGTTGCACTATAGCTTGTCAAAGGGTGTGTCTAGTTTGGGAGATCAAGTCTTCAGTACTATTGTTGGAATGTTGTCAGGCCTATGTCCTTTGCAGTATCCAGTGCCTTCAAGTGTGTCTTGCTATCACTTAGAGTGAATCAAATTGGCTGAAGATTGACAATATAAACAGAAAGAACTGCAGATGCTGTAAATCAGAAGTAAAAACAGAAGTTGCTGGAAAAACTCAGCAGGTCTAGCAGCATCTATGAAGAGAAATCAGAGTTAACGTGTAGGGTCCAGTTCTGAGGAAGGGTCACTAGACCTGAAATATTAACTCTAATTTCTCTGCACAGATGCTACCAAATCTGCTGAATTTTTCCAGCAACTTCTGTTTCTGTGTCTAAAGTTTGGCATCTGTGATGTTGAGGTAATCAGTAGGAGGCTGAGATGAATCATTCACTCAGCACTTCTGATGATAGTTGCAAATTCTTCAGGATGTGCTGGGCTCCTTCATCACTCAGGATGGGGTTCTTAGTGAAGTCTTTTCTTGGTTCTTATTTTAATTGTTTGCCACCAGGCATGACTGGATATGGCAGAACTGAAGGGCTTAGATCTGTTCCTTTGGTTATAGAATCACTTAGCTCTGTCTATCACAGGTTAAACACTAGAAGGAGGACGCACATAGTCTTCATTAGGTTGATACCTCATTTTTAGGGTGCCTCGCACTGTTTGGTCATGCCGTCCTACGTTCTTCACTAAACTGGGTGAGATTGCATTTGCATTATGAGAAATGCTAGGGAAAAGCATCAAACATTTTTGAAGTGCATGGACCTGTAGTACGTGAGCCAGCACTTTTACCCAGAAAAGGAGAAATGCAAAGTAATCCCGGCACCTTCCTGGAAGTTTGGTAAAACTGCCTCTACAGCCGATAAACTCCCTGCTCACCATGAAGGGCAATGAATCTGCCGAAAATGACGACTAACATATAGTGTTTTCCTTCCACATCTCATTCTTAGACAAACTTATTTCCAATACTGAGCAATGGACACTAAGATTACGTGAACTGTTTGCTTGAAAGCATGAGAAAAATTAAAGATGGTAAAGTTATACTTTTTAAGATTATACAGGTGCAAAATAATAACTAAACAAACATATCTATGTATTTCTAAACGCCTCCAGTTGTCTATACTGACAACAAATGTAATGAATGAATTTGCATAATTAAATGCCAGAAAATTGCAAGACTTTTAATTGCATTTAATTACATGACAACTAACTCTTCAACATAGTAAATCTCTCAGGGCTACTGTGAGAAGTACCAAGTACTTGATCATTTGTAATCATATGTCCAGTCATACAAGAGGACATTTTTATAAAACAAACTATTGCACCCATATTAAAGGCTCCCGTTAAAGTGTAAACCATGAAGACAAAGTTTACACTTCAAGAGTGTTGACATAGCCCCTTCTAGTAATCCTAGCAATTGGCAATCCCCTTTAATGATTCATCCAGTAACAGGCAAGTTTCAACAAATACATTAAAGAAACGAACAACAATTTAAGTATATTTGGGAGTGATAAAGCTACAATTCAAACCAGTGGAATGAAACAAGATTAGAAACTTAAACAGCATGTTTGAACATTTCAAATGTTGAGCGAACTCAGACATTCTACTTAAAATTGGTTCCATTTATTTCAAATCAAAAGAATTTTTTCTTCATGTACAGATATTTGTATACCTCGTATCAGGGTTATAAATGGGGCAAAAGGATTTACAATTGTACGTTTTGATATTGAGTGCCAAAAGCATGATTATTGGTCATCAAAAATCTGATACTACAAGGGAAAGTAGTTTATCTCTCGTCTTTTGGAAGCTCCCCATTCACAGAAAGCTGGTTTATAAGTCTTCACAGAACAAGGATATTCACAAGGATTATGGTCTGAATTAGCAGAACACTTCCAAATAACATTATAAGTCTATTGTAAAATCCAGCACTGTGTTTAAATGCATAACTGGCTCCACTGGTAACATTTCCAATGCTGATTAACAATGGTATAAAACGGAGTAGACAATTGGCTTTAACTTGTGACTGATGAAATTGTGTAAAATAGGAGTAATATGAAAACTGAGAATTCTTTCAGCCCATCTTTTTAAAGTTTATATTGAGTTGTGTGAAGAAATGGGGGAAGACTTAGAAATATTTAAAAGCAATTCCCACCTAATCTACCCTGGTGGTAATCTGACATTCCAATCTTAATTCCACTTTATAACCTACTCAATATTGCTTTTGGAGAAACTCAGATCTAACCCTGACTTTGTTATTAAGCCTGCCGATAAGGAAGGTGCTGTTGTAGTCTGGCGCAGTGACCTCTATGTTGCAGAGGCTGAGCGCCAACTCTCTGATACCTCATCCTACCTTCCCCTGGACCTTGACCCCACCATGCCACATCAAGCCACTGTATCTACTATGGTAACTGATCTCACTTCATCCAGTGATTTCCCCTCCTCTGCTTCCAAGCTGACAGTCCCCCAGCCCTGCACAGCTCGCTTTACCTCCTCCCAAAAATCCACAAACAGGACTGTCCTGGCAGACCCATTGTTTCAGCCTGCTTCTGCCCCACAGAACTCATCTCTTCCTACCTGGACTCCGTCCTCTCCTCCCGGTGTAATCCCTGCCCACGTACATTCATGATTCTTCCGATGCCTTATGCCGGTTTCAAAACTTCCAGTATGCCGGTTCCAGCCACCACCTCTTTACCATGGACGTGCAATCCCCTTACACATCCATTCCCCACCAGGAGGGTCTTAAGGTTCTCTGCTTCTTCCTGGAGCAATGACCTGAACCATCCCCACCCACCACCACCCTCCTCCGCTTGGCCGAGCTCATCCTCACCCTCAACAACTTCTCTTAACTCCTCTCATTTTCTTCAGGTTAAGAGGGGTGGCCATGGGTACCCACATGGGCCCTAGTTATGCCTGTTTTTTCATGGGGTATGTGAAACATTCCTTCTTCCAATCCTGCCCTTACCCACAACTCTTTCTCTGATACATCGATGATATCATCGGTGCTGCTTCCCTCTCTCGTCCGGAATTGGAAAACTTCATCAATTTCGCCTCCAATTTCCACCCTGCCCCCACTTTCACCTGGTCTGTCTCTGACTCCTCCCTTCCCTTCCTCAACATGTTTCCATTTCTGGGGATAGACTGGCCACTAATATCCCCCACAAACCCACTGACTCCCACAGCTACCTGGACTATACATCCTCACACCCTGCTTCCTGTAAAGACTCCATCCCATTCTCTCAGTTCCTCTGTCTCTGTTAAATATGTTCAGATGAGGCCAATTTCGACAAGGGAGCCTCCGAAACGTCCACCTTCTTCCTCAACTGAGGACTCCCAGCTCCTTTGTCGACAGGGCCCTCAGCCAGGTTCGGCTCATCTCCCACACCTGCCCTCACCCCTTTTATCCCCTCCCGCAACAGCGATAGGGTTCCCCTTGTGCTTACCTACCATCCCACCAGCATCCACATCCAGAAGATCATCAGACGCCATTTCTGCCACCTCAGCAAGATGCCACCACCAGACACATATTCCACTCTCCTCCCTTGTCCGCCTTCCGCAGGGACAGTTCCCTCCGGGACACCCTGGTCCACACTTCCTTCACCCCCAACACCCCCCCCACAGCCCTACGGCACCTTCCCCTGTAACCAGCGAAGGTGCAACACCTGCCCATTTATCTCCACCCTCCCCAGTATCTAAGGGCCCAAACATACCCTCCAGGTGAAGCAACACTTCACCTGCATTTCCCAAAATTTAGTCTACTGCATTTGCTGCTCAATGTGGTCTCCTCTACACTGGGGAAATGAAGCGTAGACTGGATGACCACTTCGCAGAACATCTACATTCTGCTCGCAAAAAAGACCCTGAACTACCAGTTGCCTGCCACTTTAATGCACCACCCTGTTCCGTGGCCAACATCTCTGTCTCTGGCTTGCTGCAGCGTTCCAGCAAAACTCAATGCAAGCTGGAAGAACAACATCTCATTTTCCACTTGGGGACCCTGCAGCCCTCTGGACTCAATATGGAGTTCAATAATTTTAGGGCCTAAACTCTCCCATGTCCTAGCCCCTACCCCACACACCAGGCCTTGTTATCACATTGCCTGCCATTACGCACTACCTACTGTTAGTCACTAACAGTCCCCATTAACAGCTGGTCACCTTCCTAGCCAGACCATTATCAACTCCTTTGTCTATCCAACTGCTCTTCTCTCTCTTCGGGCTCTATCCTATTGTTTACTCCCTATCCCATCCCCTTCCCTTTTTTCTGCATATAAACTGACGTTTTCCCAGCCACCATCAGTTGAGGAAGGGTCACCGGACCCGAGACGTTAACTCTTTTTTCCTTCACAGATGCTGCCAGACCTGCAGAGCTTTTCCAGCAACTTTGTTGTTGTTTAATATTACTTTTCGTTGACTAAGGGTTAAATTATCCCTAGGACTTTTCTAACACTTAAAACACTGCAATATTACTCAAAATTGTCAACTTGTTTGGCATCAAGAAAAAAGTGTAGGTTAAACTGTTAATATCTGTTTTCTTACAAATAGACCGTGTGCTTACCAGTAACATAAATGGCTCTGAAGAGCAAACAAATATTCATTGAAGCTCTCAATTGGTTTTTCTTGTAGAACATAATCAATGCGATGCCCGCCATTTAGCATTCCGATCTTCACTGTTGAATCCTCATCCTTGGGTGATTCTGGACTTTCCACCAACTTTTGTTCTAGGATTTAAGTGACTACAGTATAAATCATGTAATTTCATGCTATTGTACAAGAAAACACCAAAGATACCTGGATCATTATTCTGGTTTATTAAAACTGAGTGTCTGCTCCCAATACATTCAAGATGGTGGCCAAGGGCCAACTGCACAAGCATGGTTTCATGGGTTTGCTTAAAAGGACCTCTACAACTTGATGATTTTCCTACCAAAGAATACTAACTTATGTAACATTTATTTAGCTACAAACAGTCCGTAATTAAAAAAATGGGATGACTCCAATAGTACAACTTGCTTCATCCGTATGGCATTACCTGGTGCATACCTTGCTATTTCTGCAATGAGCCCATTGATACCTATCAATCCAAATTGTATCTGCAGGCCCATGGCTTATGAAAGAATTGCAATGTATGACATTTTAACTTTTATTTTGTTTTTTATTTTCATGCTAACAAGACTGTAGTGCTGAACTTTTTAAACTTATTTCTTTATTTTTCTATTTCTATAATTAAGATTTTGTACCTAGGAACTTTGTAGCCAAGATGGTGCCACGTGGGTGACATTGTACATTTCTCACTGTACTCTTGTACCCCGTACTGAGCACACATGACAATAAAACCTTAATCTAAATATTCTAAATTGAGCATGTGTAACTTTTAAGGCAGAGATTATCTAAGAAATTCTTTCATTATGCTGCTTATTGTTGAGAGGGTGGTTGATCCATAAATATCTTATGTATTTTCTAATCCTATCCCCTTTTTCCTGCATCTATCTAACACTTCAAAATAAATGCAGTGATTTTGAGCATGCACGAGGTGCTCCAACTGGTGATATTGTTGGCCACGAGGGGAGGCAATAGCCTCCCGGTATTATCACTGGACTATTAATCCAGAGACCCAGATAATGCTCTGGGTTCGAATCCCGCCATGGCAAATGGTGGAATTTGATTTCCATAAATATCAGGAATTAGGAATCAAATGATAACCATGAATCTGCTGCCGATTGATGGAAAAAACCCATCTGGTTCACTAATGTCCTTTAGGGAAGGAAATTGTCATCCTTACCTGGTCTGGCCTACATGTGACTCCAGACCCACAGCAATGCAGTTGACTCTGAACTGCCCTCTGGGCAATTAGGGATGGGCAATAAATGCTGCCTAAAAGCGACGCCCTCGTCTCATGAACGAATATAAAAAAAGCCTCATTATAAGAAGTCAGCAGAGCTTTCATGTAATTTGTATTTATTCATAATATACCCATTATCCTTAGAATTCTGAACAACCTCAAGGATTACATGGTTTAAGAAGGCAGCTCCCTACTGCTTTCTTCAGGGAAATTAGGGCTGAAGGCAGACTTAGCCTATGACTACCACATTCCATGAACAAAAAAAGAGTTCTGCCTAATATTGAAACTGCAGTTAAAACATATAAAGTCATTGTTGCACAAGGTTAATAATATAAGATATCTGAGATCCAAATTATAATTCAAATCCAGTATGTGAATGAACTTCAGTCCACTACAAAATACAGTCCAATTATCATTCTTCCTATCTTTGCAAGAGGCAACACTGTAATTTTATCCTTCTCTGGTGAAGAAAGCCAGGTCTCCAGAGAAAGGAAAAACATATTTCTAATTTTTGTGAGGTCAAAAACTTGGTACCTGGTGCAGTGAGGAGCTACTGTGTCTTTTTAAGACAAAGGAAGAACAAATATGTAAAGAAAGTAGGTGGCAAAAGCACATCAAAAAAAAGCAGCTAAGATCAAACCATGCAGTTTTAAAACAATAATTGGAAAAGATAGTTAGTAATACACGCTATCACTTGACTGTTTCATTTGACATGACATCTATCAAATTATAGTCATATGAAGTGGAAGACAAATTAATATGGTATGGTGTTCAGCACATCTGTGGGCTGTGATGAGCTGTGGCAGCATCAGCAGACAGTCTATTGCCTCAACCCCACCTTATATTAGAAGCACTGGCGGTAGTTTAAAATTAAACGAGACTAATTGCTACCAGCATCAGTCCCATGTTTCTGCCCATTTTTGAAACTTGAATCTACTGACATCAAAAGCTTTACCTTTCGTTCTCACCTCACCACCCCCAGCCCCCATTTTTTCAAGATACCCCTGCAACTGTCAACTTGTTTAATCATGTACATGCACATAACCACTCCAATGTTTTGTGCAGCACGATGGCATGCCGATCGCAGCACTGACTTCCAGCTGCACTCAGGCTTCGGAGGTCGTGCAGCCGGAAAGAAAATTAGAGGGAATATGCCTTCACATTCACTCTTCAATGTTCACATTCTGAACAAAAGTTACCAGCATTGCTCCATCCCCACTTCTAACACCAAGCACAAGAAGCTTAAATTTATCCAGCAATACAATCAGAGATTATCAAGGCAGCTGCATTTTTAAATCAATCCTTTTGCCTTACTATCAGGCACTAGATATTCAGTCCCTCGACCGCTTTCACCTTGAACTCGTTTCCTCCTTTTTTTTTGATAAATTATCCTCTCTTGCTCTCTCCAACCTCATCTCAGCGATAAGAACCATCTCTTGCTCACTTGATTTCTTTCTCATTTCTGTCTCCTGCAACTCTGAACAAATAACTCCAGTTACTGACATAGTTAATTGCTCTCTATTCTCACATATTGTGCATCTATCATTGAACAGTGGCATTAACATTACACTCCTGTGACAAAGAAAACTTATCCTTCCATTTTCAATAATGCCCGATATCTTTGGTCTCTACTCCTTGAGCATATTGTCAACTCTTAGCTGCGCACCCGTTATTTCCATAATTTCTTGTTCCAATCCCTCCAGTTCAGCTTTCAAACTATTCAAAGCATGAAACCACCCAAAATCATAACAAATATGCTCTGCGATTGTGACTACGATACATTATAGTTCCTTTTCCTATACAAACTTCTTACAGCAAGATTGACCGAAACATCTTCCTCTTCCTCTGATGCCAGACTTCTTCATCCTACTTGGTGACACTATCCTTGCATGATTATATTACAATTATCCAAAAAATAAATGCATCATCATCAGCAATGGCTTCTCCCTCATTTCCCTGTGGCACCAAGAATCTCTCTCTAAAATGTGGACAATATAAACATGAGATAACAAGGTGTAGAGCTGCATGAACACAGCAGGCCAAGTTGATAAACACACTTAACTGTGCTGGCTGAACATAACACTAAAGAAATTCAGTAATTTTTGTGTAAATGAATATATCTTTCCATAAGTATTAAAACTTAAAAATTATATAATAGTGCCGGATAACATTTACCTTCCTCCACATGTTTTTCTTCCTCCTCTTTAATTTGGTTAGCTACCTTCTCTAGCTCAGCTTGCAGCTGGGTTGAGGAGGTGTGGGCACGTGCAAATTCATTCAGCGTCTGCCAGGCATTCTTCAGAGAACTAATGAAGCCTTGTTTCAAATCCGAGCCCATGCGGGACAGGCTTTCCTTCAACTCTAGAAAAGAAAAGCAAGTAAATTGCATCACCCTGGTCCTCTCACTAAACAATTTCAAATGTAATTCTTACAAACTTAGCTCAGCTTTGAGAAGAACAATCAAATATTGAAAGGTAGCAGTAAATACCATCTTTGAGATGGAGCATGATGTAATCCCCTCTCCTCTACTTGTGTTTAGAAGAATGATAGGTGATCCAAATGGGACTTGGGAAATTTTGAGAGGACTTCATAGATTAATAGAGACATTGCTTCTGCTGGCTTTAACAATTATGGGGTGTAGTTTCAGGGACTCATCAATCAAGACCTAGAAATGATCCTAAAATGACCATTCATGCCATTATGGAAATTAAAAATTATATACAAGTGAGATATCACATTCAAATTAGTGTGAGGATCAAATGTAGAATGCTTAGTATGGAAAGGTTGGAATTAGAACATGACAGAATTGTGAATCACAGAGATTAAGGCCCAGACTGAAAATTGTACAGCTATGTTCACAAAGTCTGAGGTTAACTACTTTTATTTTCCCCTGCAAGAATATTACACTACAAGTAGGAAGTCACGAACAGCAGATCAAATGCTTTGAAATTACTCATTTGAAGACTTGGTCAGTGATGTAAGAAAAAAAGCACAGGGGCATCTGCTGCGATTGATGAGAAAAGCCGATTGTGGATAGGCACATAGAGGATAGTTAAACGTAGGGTATGCAGGGTAGATTGATCTTAGTAGGATAATAGGTCGGCACAACATCGTGGGCCGAAGGGCCTGTACTGCGCTGTACTGTTCTATATTCTATGGAGTGAAGTTAGGTGTTGTCTAGAAGGCAGAAACAAGGGACTGTAAGGAAAGATGATGATGATTTATGCTGGGATCATCCTGTGAATATCAGAAATAAATGATAATTAATGCTTCAGACATAGTTCATATGAAGTAAACTTGAAAGAAGAAACTGATTGTTTTGTAAGAGAAACTGAACGTTTTTAAAGAAAATGTAACTTGCCAGGTGGTGGTCAGTTTCATTCTCTCTCTCTCACACAGACACACACACCAACACAGACACACACATACACCGTTTTTACTTTAATTTCAGAGATGTGCACGAAGGCATGCACTAAACACATAAGAAACCAACAGCAGCATCTTCAGCATCAATTCTCACAGCAGTAGTGTAGGTCACAACAAATATGTGAATGACAGCTGAGGATAGAATGGAAAGCTCAAGGAGTTAGAATTTGAACTTCTAGTTGCTAGTAAATACAAACTTGTTTTGTATTATTGCCCATCAAAACCTGTGGCCATGTTCTGCAGACATTTCCCAAATATGCTGGCATAGTCACTGCAGAATTGAAATGCACTTTTATTTTCAAGGGATAGGTCACATTTGCTTGATTGTTAAAAAAAATCATTAATGGGATGAGGGTGTTGCCGGCTAGGCAGCATTTATTGCCCATCCCTAATTGCCCCGAGAGGAATTCAGAGTCAACTATATTGCTGTGGGTCTGGAGTCACATGTGGGCCAGACTAGGTAAAGATGGCAGTTTCCTTCCCTAAAAGGCATTAGTGAACCAGATGGGTTTTTCCAACAATCGACAACGACAATCGATTCATGGTCGTCATTAGATTCTTAATTCCAGATTATACTTTTATTTTGAATTCAAATTCCACCATCTGCTGTGGAGGGATTTCAACCCGCAACCCCAGAACATTATCTGGGTCTCTGGATTAACAGTCCAGCGATAACATCACTTGGCCATCCCTATGATGTATCAGAAAAATAACCATATAGAGTCATAGAAATGTACAGCATGAAACAGATCCTTCGGTCCAACTCGTCCATGCCAAAAACATACCCTAAATTAATCTTGTCCCATTTGCCAGAATTAGCCCATATCCCTCCAAACCCTTCCTATTCATATACCTATCTAGATTACTTTTAAATATTGTAATTGTACCAGCCTCCTCCACTTCCTCTAACAGCTCATTCCATATATGCATCACTGTCCATGGGTATAGTGCCGGAAGATTGGAAAGAGGCAAACGTCATTCCCTTGTTCAAAAAAGGGAGCAGGGATAACCCTGGAAATTACAGGCCAGTTAGTTTTACGTCAATGGTGGGCAAATTATTGGAAAGGGCTCTGAGAGACAGAATTTATGATCACTTGGAAAGGCACAGTTTGACTCGTGATAGTCAGTATGGGTTTGTGAGGGGTAGATCATGCCTCACAAACATTATTGAATTCTTTGAAGAGGTGACCAAACACGTGGATGAAGATGGAGCAGTGGATGTGGTATACATTAATTTAAGTAAGGCGTTTGATAAGGTTCCCCATGGTAGGCTCATGCAGAAGGTAAGGAGGCATGGGATAGGGGGAAATGTGGCAGATTGGATTCAGATTTGGCTGACCCTTAGAAGACAAAGGGTGGTAGTGGACGGAAAATATTCAACATGATGCTCAGTTACAAGTGGTGTACCACAAGGATCTGTTCTGGGTCCTCTTCTACTTGTGATTTTTGTAAATGATTTGGATGAAGGAGTGGAAGGGTGGATTAGCAAGTTCTCGGATGATACGAAGGTGGGTCACGTTGTGGACAGTGCGGAGGGCTGTTCTAGGTTACAAAGGGACATTGACAGAATGCAGAGCTGGGCTGAGAAGTGGCAGATGGAGTTTAACCCTGAAAAGTGTGAGGTGATTCATTTTGGAAGGACAAACTTGAAAGCAGAATACTGGGTTAATGGAAAGATTCTTGGCAGTGTGGAGGAGCAGAGGGATCTTGGGGTTCATGTTCACAGTTCCCTGAGAGCTGCCACCCAGGTGGATAGAGTTGTTAAGAAGGCGTATGGTGTGTTAGCTTTCATTAATAGAGGGATTGAGTTCAAGAGCCGTGAAGTTATGCTCCAGCTATACAAAAGCCTGGTTCGGCCACATCTGGAGTATTGTGTCCAGTTCTGGTCACCTTATTACAGGAAAGATGTGGAAGCATGAGAAAAGGTGCAGAGGAGATTTACCAGGATGTTGCCTGGAATGGAGGGAAGGTCTTACGAGGAAAGGTTGAGAGAGCTAGGGCTTTTCTCTTTAGAACGATGAAGGATGAGAGGTGACTTGACAGAGGTGTACAAAATGATCAGAGGTATAGATAGAGTAGACAGCCAGAGACTTTTTCCTAGGGTGGAGCTAGCTTTTACGAGGGGACATAGTTTTAAAGTGAAAGGAGGTAGATATCGGAGAGACGTCAGAGGTAGGTTCTTTACTCAGAGTGGTAGGGGCGTGGAATGCATTGCCGGAGAGGGTAGTGGAGTCGGCCTCATTAGGGGCATTTAAGCGGCTATTAGAGAGGCATATGGATGATAGTATAAGGTAGCAGTGGAGGTTAGATAGACCTTAGGTTTAGGGTAAAAGTTCGGCACATAATCGTGGGCCGAAGGGCCTGTAGTGTGCTGTACTATTCTATGTTCTTATATGCCTCACCCTCTGCATGAAAAAACTGCCCTTCAGATCCCTTTTTAAATCTTTCCCCTCTCACCTTAGATCTTTGCCCTCTGGTTTTGGACTCCCCCACCCTGGGGTAAAGACCTTGCCTATTTACCTTATCCATGGCCCTCATGATTTTAAAAACCTCCATGATCACCCCTCAGCCTTTGACCCTCCAGGGAAAAATAGCCCCAGCCTATTCAGCCTCTCCCTGTAGCTCAAACCCTCCAACCCTGGCAACATCCTTGTAAATCTTTTCTGAATCCTTTCAAGTTTTACAACATTCTTTCTATAGCAGGACAACCAGAATTACATGCAGTATTCCAAAAGTGGCTTAACGAATGTCCTGTACAGCCACAACAGGAGCTCCCAACTCCTATACTCAATCACAACTCATACTCAATATACTGACCGATAAAGGCAAGCATACCAAACACCTTCTTCACTCTACTTTCAACCTGCGACTCCACTTTCAAGGAACTCTGAGCCTTCACTCCAAGATCTGTGTGTTTAACAACACTCCCCAGGACCCTACCATTAAGTGTATAAGTCCTGTACTGATTTGCCTTACCAAACTGCAGCACCTCACATTTATCTAAATTAAACTCCATCTGCCACTCCCCATCTGATCAAGATCCTGTTGTTCTCAGGTAATCTTCACTGTCCACTACACCTCCAATGTTGGTGCCATCTGCAAACTTACTAACCAAACCTCCTACCTTCACATCCAAATCGTTTCTATAAATGATGAAAAGCAGCGGACCCAGTACAGATCCATATATTGAGGAAAACTGAAAATATTCTCTCCAACCCAGCAAATATTCCAGATTTGCAGTAATGTTTAGAGTTAGCATTGATCTAGAGATTTTTTTTGGAGTAAAACTTACACCAAGTAATGGAGATGCATTTGTTGTTTTGATTGCTGAATTGAGAATAATTGAATTCTGCAATTCAAAGCTTCTCAAGAGGACAAAATGAGGCATGGAATCATAAAAATGTCAGATTATTTATTAAATAGGAAAAAGCTGTAAGTGGTTATCAAAAACAATCTTCCAGATAAGAAATCCAGAGATAAATTTTCATCCTCAATAACAGTTTGCAAGAACAGAGCCAAAGGAATGTTTTTTGATGGAAGTGTTAGGGCTATGGCTTTGAAAGATACATAGACAGAGGAAGAATCATTCAGACTATGCTAGTTTTTTTATAAAATCATGAATGAGACATGGGTGTCACTGGCTGGGCTGACATTTATTGCTTGTACCTGGTTGCCTTTAAGAAAGTAGTGGTGAGCTGTGAACGTGCTGTAGGTAGATCCACAATGCTGTTAGGGAGTGAATTTGAGGAATTTGACCCAGCAAGACTGAAGGAACAGCAATATAGTTCCAAGTCAGGATGGGAAGTGGCTTGGAGGGGAACTTGCAGGTGGTTATGTCCTCAACGTATTGAGTATGAGGTGCATGAAAGGAATTTAGGAGTTCTGTTTACGGCAATGAGGTCCAGGAAGCAGGAAGTGGATCTCATGAACAGTTT